AAAAAAAAAAAAAAAAAAAAAAAAAAAAAAACGTAAAGGCAACAACGAATTACATAGGGTACCATTATAACCATATCAGTCTAGTGCCATTGTCAGGCTGCACCATGACATCTGAGAAAGAACGATATTCTAATTCTGCCAAGAAATGTTGTGAATTATAAACGTCCCAAATGGTTCTTCAGAATAATCTAATTACAGTATCGCATCTACCTATTCTTTCTTTAGTGCCTGTTAAGTTGGAAGATTTGCCATTACCCTTTTTTGCACGATTCAAACTGGCTTCAGCCTTGGCTCCTTGAGGGGTGATTTCTAACAATTCATGGTCTCCTACACTATAGAGAAAAGACAGAAGCCTTGGTGAGAAACAGTAGTTTATATGCGCAAATAGTTGTCACATGATCAAGTATTTTAGCTCCTCTAGGTAGGGTTGCAATAAGGGTGATTAATTTGATTCACTTTTTGAAATCTGTGCTTTGGTAACTTCTGGTCAAAATGAAATGGTCAAAGACTGAGAACATACAGTCACAAAAATCACAGCAGTAGTATAGAACATTGTTTTATGGACATACAAATGAGAACTAAAATTTAAATGATGGCCAAATAATAGCTAAAAGACAGTAAAGAGAAAACCAACAAAACTTAAAATATATCTTAATGAGAATACAAGTACAAAGTTATCTAAACAAAGGGAGCACTGGGATGGAACAGACATTCCAATAGAATGCAAAAGCACACCACTCTGCAGCACTGCCTTCTGTGCTTCTTTTCAGGCTAAAAACCATTTTCTCCCAATTGAGAGATTAGGAAAAAGTCATTTGCAAACAAAATCTGATTGGCAATGACACCATCACAGATCTTAGGGTCAAGCAATAATTCCTAACGAAAGCAATTTGACAACCCAGTTGGGGGCTGCTTGTAGATTATGGTTTAATTTATGTAGACAAAGTTTGAGTTACAGACGGAATTAAGGAACAGGAAGGAAAGAATTGAAAACTGAGTACTCTAATGTTTTCAACAGTCACAATTATCACTGAGTCAACACTGCCATACATGAGGAACTAAGCTAGGGCACAACCATCTGCTGGAAGCAAGTCTGTGCATAGTTCTAGGGTTACTTTAAACTCTTTCAAACTCTTTACTAAGAAACCAACCAACGAAGCAAAAAGGATATTTTCTGGACTTCCCTGGTGGCACAATGGTTAAGAATCTGCCTGCCGAAGACCTAAACAGACATTTCTCCAAAGAAGATATACAAACTGCCAACAAACACATGAAAGAATGCTCAACATCATTAATCATTAGAGAAATGCAAATCAAAACTACAACGAGATATCATCTCACACCAGTCAGAATGGCCATCATCAAAAAATCTAGAAACAATAAATGCTGGAGAGGGTGTGGAGAAAAGGGAACACTCTTGCACTGCTGGTGGGAATGTGAATTGGTACAGCCACTATGGAGAACAGTATGGAGGTTCCTTAAAAAACTACAAATAGAACTACCATATGAACCAGCAATCCCACTACTGGGCATATACCCTGAGAAAACCATAATTCAAAAAGAGTCATGTACCACAATGTTCATTGCAGCTCTATTTACAATAGCCCAGAGATGGAAACAACCTAAGTGCCCATCATCAGATGACTGGATAAAGAAGATGTGGCACATATATACAATGGAATATTACTCAGTCATAAAAAGAAACGAAATTGAGCTATTTGTAATGAATGAGGTGGATAGACCTAGAGTCTGTCATACAGAGTGAAGTAAGTCAGAAAGAGAAAGACACCGTATGCTAACACATATATATGGAATTTAAGAAAAAAAAATGTTATGAAGAACCTAGGGGTAAAACAGGAATAAAGACAGAGACCTACTGGAGAACAGACTTGAGGATATGGGGAGGGGGAAGGGTGAGGTGTGTTAGGGCGAGAGAGAGACATGGACATATATATACTAACAAACGTAAGGTAGATAGCCAGTGGGAAGCAGCCGCATGGCACAGGGAAACCGGCTCGGTTCTTTGTGGCTGTCTGGAGGGGTGGGATAGGGAGGGTGGGAGGGAGGGAGACAAAGAGGGAAGAGATATGGGAACATATATATATGTATAACTGACTCACTCTGTTATAAAGCAGAAACTAACACACCATTGTAAAGCAATTATACCCCAATAAAGATGTTAAAAAAAAAAAAAGAATCTGCCTGCCAATGCAGGGGACATGGATTCGAGCCCCGGTCCGGGAAGATCCCACATGCCGCTGAGCAGCTAAGCCCGTGTGCCACAACTGTTGAGCCTGTGCTCTAGAGCCCGCGAGCCACAACTACTGAACCCGTATGCCACAACTACTGAAGCCCGCACACCTAGAGCCCGTGCTCTGCAACAAGAGAAGCCACCGCCATGAGAAGTCCGCGCATCGCACTGAAGAGTAGCCCCCGCTCGCAGCAACTAGAGAAAGTCCGCGCGCAGCAACAAAGAACCAATGCAACCAAAACCAAATAAATAAATATTTTTAAAAAGGATATTTTCTCAGCTATAAAATGAGGAGATTAAAGTAGATGGTCTTTAAGGTCTATTCCAATGCCATGATTCTAACCTAAAGAAATACCAATCCTTAATATTAACTAGATACAAATATGCCAGCTTCATAGAAAAAGGCTCTCTTTGACTCACCTGAAATAACTGGCCTTATTAACTGTATCTTCAGATGAATCAGATCCTAAAAAAATTCCCCAAATACCCCCAAATAACAAATCAATAAAAGGATTTTTATTGAAAGGGTTAAACTCAAAAAATACACTTGTTGCAAAACATATCTTCAAGAAATATTTACTGAGCACCAACTACATGGCAGACACAATGATACATGTCAGGCAATACAGAGAAGTGGTCATAAGCACAGGTTTGAACCATGACTCTTTCATTTACTAGCTTTACGACCTTGGCAAAATTTCTTAACCTCTCTGTGCCTTAATTCCCTCATCTGTAAAATAAGTATAATAGTAGTAATCATCTCAGGTTTGTCATGTATCTTAAATGAGTTACACAAGTAAAACACACCAGTGTGTGCACTACAGTAGGTGCTCCTAAATATTCTCTATTATAATTATTTTGATTATTTTTATGAGGCAATACCTGTTGTCTAGGAACTTATGATCTTAAAAGGGGAAAAGACACAAGAAATTTCAGAAGAATATGACAAGTGCTATGTCAAACATTAGTGCCTGGGAGCTCAAAGGAGGGCCGTTCTTTCCAATTATAAATATACTCTAAAGGATAAGACATAGAGAGACCTGTTTGAACTGAGCTCAGCTGTTCTTAAAAGTCTTTCTAGTCTAGTACAAGTTATCTTAGATCCCTCCAAATGCTGTAGCCCACTCATCACATTCTTTCTTAGCCCTACTCTCCATATTTCCAAAGTATATTTACACATAGTTATAACCAGACATCCTTTCTTTTGCTCTCTTTACAAAGGAAGGTTCTTCAAGGTGAGACCTGCATCTTTTACATTATGTATAACACATCATAAGGCTAGTAAAATTATTTTATTTTCACTTCCCAGAGCTCCCTGCCACTGTATAAATTGTGACCAAGGTTTTTGGTAAAACTCCTAGACAAGGAATCCAGCAACTATTATTCTAAACTTACAAATTCTGAGACTCTTACCCAATTCAATGTAGACGGACTTATTCTGAGGTTGTATCTGCTGCTTTGTCCTCAGAGATCTCACAATTCCAAGGTTAGAGAGCTGGACACTAAGACTGGTTTCCTGCTAAGCAGTAAAGAATGATCAACAAATTGTTGGCCAGTTCTGTGCTTTTTTTTTCTTAACAGAAACTCAAAGCCATGGACAAAACAAATAGACCATTATCAATTAGCTAACATTTATGACACCTCAGAAAAAACATTTCGCAGACTACACACCAGAATGTATGAGTTTTGTGTGCTTTGAATACTTTTCCCCTCTCTCTGTTGTTCTGAATTTTTCTAAAATAAATATGTATTATCTGTGTAATATTTTTAAAGATAAGGAAAGCATTTTTTTTCTTTTTGATTTTGTTTTTGTCTTTCTTTTTTATTTGTTTATTTAGTTTTGGCTGCATTGGGTCTTCGTTGCTGCGCTCGGGCTTTCTCTAGTTGCAGGGAGCAGGGGCTACACGGGCTACTCTTCGTTGCATGTGCAGGCTTCTCATTGTGGTGGCTTCTCCTGTTGCGGAGCACGGGCTCTAGGTGCGGGGGCTTCAGTAGTTGTGGCATGTGGGCTCAGTAGTTGTGGCTCACAGGCTCTAGCGCGCAGGCTCAGTAGTTGTGGCACACGGGCTCAGTAGTTGTGGCTCACAGGCTCTGGAGAGCAGGCTCAGTAGTTGTGGTGCACCAGCTTAGTTACTCCACGGCATGTGGGATCTTCCCGGACCAGGGCTCAAACCCATGTCCCCTGCATTGGCAGGTGGGTTCTTAACCACCACACCACCAGGGAAGCCCCAAAGTAAATTTTTAAAAAGGATAAATGAAAATAAAGAAAACCCAGCAATGGGCTTCCCTGGTGGCACAGTGGTTGAGAGTCCGCTTGCCGATGTAGGGGACACGGGTTCGTGCCCCGGTCCGGGAAGATCCCACATGCCGCGGAGCGGCTGGGCCCGTGAGCCATGGCCGCTGAGCCTGCACGTCTGGAGCCTGTGCTCCGCAACGGGAGAGGCCACAACAGTGAGAGGCCCGCGTACCACAAAAAAAAAAAAAAGAAAACCCAGCAAGCCTAAGAATATTCAGTACAGGAGAGAATATTTAGAAACGGGACCTTACTTTGATGAAGCTTTCCTTCTTCTTTTTAAGCCCTTCAACATCTACCGAAAAGTGAATGCTGGTACTATGAGAACATTTTTTTTTAATTAATTAATTTATTTATTTATTTTTGGCTGCGTTGGGTCTTTGCTGCGCGTGGGCTTTCTCTAGTTGTAGTGAGCGGGGGCCACTCTTCACTGTGGTGCGCTGGCTCCTTATTGCGGTGGCTTCTCCTGTTGCGGAGCACAGGCTCTAGGCTCACGGGCTCTAGAGTGCAGGCTCAGTAGTTGTGGCTCACTGGCTTAGTTGCTCCGCAGCATTTGGGATCTTCCCAGACCGGGGCTCGAACCCATGTCCCCTGCATTGACAGGCAGACTCATACCCACTGCGCCACCAGGGAAACCAGAGAACTATTATTTTTAAGATCTTCATTATTCATTCACATAGAAATAACAACAGCGCAAATCTCTGCATTTTCTTTGACAATTACACTTTTAACTTGAAGGAATTTTCAAATGTTAAAAACCGATTTTTTTTTCCAGGCAACTTTTCAGAGGAAATAACACAGAAGTTATTTCCTTGTCCCTGGAGAACTGCCATAAGATGATTATTTTAAAAACTAGCAAGCTGACCATCAGTGTCCTTGTGTCTATCTTAGACAGATATGGACAAAAATATGTTCATCAGAATGAACAAAGCACTAAAACTGGGGACCTTCTCTCGTCTCCTCTAACTCTTGTTTGGCCACTTAATTTACCATCTTCCCTTGTTTACTGACTTTTTGTGTAAATCCATAAGCATCTAGCACACTCACCAACTCACAGTGCTCAATAAAGAGATGTTATCAGAATACACAAAAATGGCCTTACCAAGGTAGGATTTTCAGGTTCACTCTGTTGAAGTCTTTTGGCCCGGTTTCGGTAGCCCATACTTTGAATGATAGAAACTTCCTCCTTTAGATGCTCAGGAGAGTTATTTTCCTTTTTTGAAAAGTTATAACTGTTTGCAACTGTGAATTACAAAGGAAAACATTATTTTTGCAGTTAGAAAAAAATGTATTAATTGTAAGCAAAGAACCAAGAGAAAGCCTGTGTATGCTCTTTGTTGTACAATATTAAAACAATGCATTAAAGGTTGCCTATACTTTTTTAAAAAATGAACTTCAGAAGTTCTACTCCTAGGAAACAAACACACAGACCAGTTATTTCTACTCCTTTTTTTCCCACCTTAATACTAACAAATTTGCCTATTAATACCATATTTCACTGAAACTAAAATACCAGTGATATAAAATGCACCATTATTTTCTGTACCACTAAGAAAGAAAACACTAAATTAAACAATGACACACCACTGATGGTAAACTGCTCCCAATTTTGGAGATGTGCAAATAAAAAACTTGCATCTTAGGATGGATAAAATAAGGTGTGAGACCAGTGGGAATGATTTTAAAAATAGATTACAGGGGCTTCTCTGGTGGTGCAGTGGTTGAGAGTCCGCCTGCCGATGCAGGGGACACGGGTTCGTGCCCCGGTCCAGGAAGATCCCGCGTGCGGCGGAGCGGCTGGGCCCATGAGCCATGGCCGCTGAGCCGGCGCGTCCGGAGCCTGTGCTCCGCAACGGGAGAGGCTACAACAGTGAGAGGCCCGCGTACCGGGAAAAAAAAAAAAAAAAAAAAAAAAAAAAAAAAAAAGATTACAGATAAAGAGCTAAAGTTAACCTAGACCAAAAGGTCTTACCACCTATCAAATAAAATAATTCCACAAACTTCCATTTTAATAGATGGCCACTTGAGCATTGGCCCCTGGGGTTATGCAACACTTACTGTGCAATCCTGTGTCAAGCTCAAAAGCATGAATGATCTTCAATAGCTCTTCAACAAGCTGACTAAATCTTGTACTTTCTTGTAGGCTTCTGAAAGTAAATTGTTTGAAAGACACACTTAGCAAATGATTACCAACTTTTTAAGGACACTAAAATAAGGAAAGACATGTAAACAAATAGAAAAAGAAGTAGCAACAGTTGAAAAAAAACTACATGGAAAGAACAGAGCTATTAGTGACATTACACTAATCAAAACATCACTGACAGCAGAATAAACCACATAGCATATTGATTGTTTTTATAATTTTTTTTGGCCATTCAAACTTACCAAAAGCCTATAATTATTTAAAATAATAGTACTTTGAATCCACAGTAGATATAAATCCACTGCAGAGAGAACTTATTATTCTTAACATCTGAATCCCATCCACCCAAAGTACCACTTCTAGCTCTCAGGGATTTCTGCCAAATGATGATTACATTATTTCAAAATCACAGATAGATAACCATGTCCAAAGAGAAATTTTGGTTTAGGACAGTTGTAGGACAATATAATTTATATATTCATTTACATATCTGAGTGACTACTATGTGTCAAACATTGGAAAAACAGTGTTGACTGAGACAGACAAAGCCAGGGCCCTAATAGAACTTACATCCTGGCCAGAGGGACACACAATATATAAATGCATTGCATATGTGTTTGTGTAAATAAGTAGAAATATACGCAAGGAAGAAAAATAAAAGCAGGATCAGGACAATGGGGGCAGGGTGGTACAGTCCAATATTAGATAAGACTGCAAGTTCTTGCATCATATAGAAGGATTAGAAAAAGGCAATGAATTGCTAGTACCTGTCTAAGGCAGATGTACTGTAAAATTTTCAGAAAAATGACTTTAGAAATAATTTACCCTGTCAGCTAAACACCCTTTTTTTATATATTTTTCTACTGATGAGTGGTTTGATAGGAATACCAGCTATGTTATTAAGGAATTTCTACTTTTTCCTGTTGTTGTCACTTCCAACCTCCCAACTACCCAAATTATATACCTTCTGGTTATATCATTCTTACACAAAGGACACTGTGAAGGCCCTTTCTTCTGGTTGAGAAGTTTCAGCATACAAAATCTATAAATTTTAAAGAATGAAAAGAACTGAAGTTACATTTTTTTTTTTTTTTGCAGAGAGAATATTCAAAAAGCAAATAGCCATGAAAAGATAATCTCACAACTGCCCTTAAGAGCCATTTTAAAGGTAATGGCAGGTGAATTACAACCAATGGCCTTCTTTAATTGTTTTTAGATGCTGTATAATCAGAAAACAAACTATATAAGCAAAAATCTATGAAAACTGAACTTACATGCATATGGCTTACTATTATGATCAAATAAAACCTATTAAAAGTTAATATGGCATATTTAATGATATACTCATAATTATTTCATGCTGCATAATCAGACATAAATGGTAAGTGGTTCAAGTAAAATGATTATAATTAGTTTAAAAACTCAGCACCTCAATACAAAAGTTACAGTAATCAAGACAGCATGATACTAGCATAAGGACAAACATATACATAAATGGAATAGAATGAGAGTACAAACATACATCTATGCTATTGTTGATTTTCAACAATAGCACCAAGACAATTAAATGGAAAAGGAATAATCTTATCAACAAATAGTGCTGGGACAGCTAGATATCCACATGGGAAAAAATGAAGATAGACTCCTACCTCACACAATACAGAAAAATTAACTCAAAATGGATCACAGAACTAAATGTAAGAACTAAAACTATAAATGTCTGTGACCATGGGTTAAGCAATGATTTCATAAATAAATAAATGGCAAAAACACAAGCAACCAAAGGAAAAATGGGTACACTAGACTACATCAAACTTAAAAACTTCGGTGCTACAAATAATACTATGAAGAAAGTGAAGGGACAATCCACAGAATGAGAGAAAATATCTGCTAATCATATATCTGATAAGGGACTTGTATCCAGAATATAAGAACTCTTAAAATTCAATAAAAAAAGAAATAACCCAATTAAAAAATGGGCAAAGGATATGAAGAACTATTTTTTCCAAAGGAGATATACAAATGGCCAATAAGCACATGAAAAGATGCTCGATATCATTAGTCATTAGGAAAAAGGAAATCAAAGCCACAATGAGATGCTACTTTATGCCCACTATGATGGCCCTAATTAAAAAGACAGATAGGGCTTCCCTGGTGGCGCAGTGGTTGAGAATCTGCCTGCTAATGCAGGGGACACGGGTTCAAGCCCTGGTCTGGGAAGATCCCACATGCCGCGGAGCAACTAGGCCTGTGAGCCACAACTACTGAGCCTGTGCATCTGGAGCCTGTGCTCCTCAACAAGAGAGGCCGCGACAGTGAGAGGCCCGCACGCCGCGATGAAGAGTGGCCCCCGCTTGCCACAACTAGAGAAAGCCCACGCACAGAAATGAAGACCCAACAGAGCCAAAAAAAAAAAGACATAATAATAAGTACTGGCAAAGATGTGGAGCAACTGAAATCCTCATTCATTGCTGGTGGAAATATAAAACAACGCAGTCACTTCGGAAAACTGTTTGGCAGTTCCTCAAGATGTTAAACAAAGAGTTACCATAAGACTCTGCAATTCTACTCCTAGGTTTCTTTCCAGGAGAAATGAAAACAGAAGTCCACATAAAACTTGTACACAGGACTTCCCTGGTGGCACAGTGGTTGAGAATCCGCCTGCTGATACAGGGGACACGGTTTGAGCCCTGGTCCAGGAAGATCCCACATGCCACAGAGCAACTAAGCCCGTGTGCCACAACTACTGAGCCCACATGCCACAACTACTGAAGCCCGTGCGCCTAGAGCCTGTGCTCCGCAACGAGAAGCCACCGCAATGAGAAGCCCGTGCACCGCAACAAAGAGTAGCCCCCCGGCTCACCACAACTAGAGAAAGCCCATGCACAGCAAAGAAGACCCAACGAAGCCATAAATAAATAAATAAATAAAATAAAATAAAATAAAATAAAATAAAATAAAAAACAAAACCCCTCAAGGCTGGAAGAAAACATGCTCCTTTTTATATTCACAATGCCCAACAGAGTATCTGGCATAACCATGCTGCTCACTAGACATCTAAGGAATGAAGGAGGCTCATTCAGGGTTTTAGAATGGCTTTGGATAAAGAACAATTTTGTTGTTTGTCTCAGACATTGAATATGGCTAAGAAGACTTGAAGATCATATGCAACATGTTCAGAGGCAGCTTCCTTTTTTGTTTTAATAAATATTTTAACATTTATTTATTTAGGCTGCGCTGGGTCTTAGCTGCAGCATGCTGACTCTTAGTTGTGGCATGCAGACTCTTAGTTCTGGAATGCATGAGGGATTCTAGTTCCTCAACCACGGATCAAACCCGGGCCCCCTGCATTGGAAGCACAGACTTTTACCCACTGAACCACCAGGGAAGTCCTGAGTCAGCTTCCTTAAGAAAGGAAAATACGGCTCCCATTGGCTGGTGGTGTCCGTGAAAATCAACGTTGCCTTAGGAAGAAGACAAAAGAAGACTCAAAAGAGAGGTAGAATGGAAAGAAGGGAAGAGAGCAAAAGTAGCTGTGGTGATGATTATTAAAAGCAGTGATTCACACTGATACAACCAATATTTACTACATGTCCAGTATTGTTCTAGATGCAAGAAATTCAGTGGAAAAGGAAAACAAAATCCCTGCTATTATAAAGGACATAATATTATGGCGAGGGAGATGACTGGGGAAGGGAGTAGAGAAGATACCGACATTGAAGAGAGCCAGGAAAGAAGATTTAGGGAGCTGAAAAGGCAGTGGGAGGGCCTCCCTGGTGGCGCAGTGGTTGAGAGTCCGCCTGCCGATGCAGGGGATGCGGGTTCGTGCCCCGGTCCAGGAGGATCCCACATGCCGCGGAGCCATGGCCGCTGAGCTTGCGCGTCCGGCAAGGGGAGAGGCCATGACAGTGAGAGGCCCACGAATTGCAAAAAAAAAAAAAAAAAAAAAAAAAGGCAGTGGGAAGGCAGTGAGCCAGCAGACACTTAGAGAGCACTTTTTACTGGCCACGTCCTTTAACATGCATTGCTCTCTCTGTCTACACAACCCTGAAGTATTATCTTCATTTTACAGTAGAGACTTGTCCCAGATCATACAGTAATCAAGTAAGTAGTAAAGGTGATACTGGATCTAGGATTGAACTGTAGCAAAGCCCATGGTTTTTCCACCAGAGAAAGTAAATGTAGGTAGGTCTGGTCAAGGAGACCCAGGGGTCCTACTTCACTTATATAGTTGCTTGAACTACCACATTGCACTTGACAACAGTTCTATAGTTTAGGGGACAGGGGTATCAAAAAGCTACCTGCTCTGTATATAAAGCCCATTTAAACATTTATTTATTTATCTGGCGGTGCTGGGTCTTAGTTGTGGCATGGGGGATCTTTGTTGCTGTGTGCGGGACCTCTGTTGTGGCATGTGGTATCTTTAGTTGCGGCATGCGGGAGGCATGCGGGATCTAGTTCCCCTACCAGGGATCGAACCTGGGCCCCCTGCATTGGGAGCACAGAGTCCTAACCACTGGACCCAGAGAAGTCCCATAAAGTCCATAAAGAGCCACAAAATAGAGGCTACCACTCCTTGAGAAGATGCAAATACTACCTGCACTCTACCATAATGGCTCTAGGAGGCATCAATGCATCACACTGGCAAATGGTACAATTCAACAATTCAGAGTAGAGGTAGGGAGGTAATTCCCTAAACATAGCACTGCAGAATACAGCAGCTAAGATATTGCGTGATAAGCCAAGCTATAGATGTTGCAGCCTGTACAATAATTACATAAGTAACACAGGAGAACCAGATACGTAGAAATCAACCAAGATATTATGAGTTCCAATCTTTCTTTATGCTAGAAAAAGAACAGACTCATAAAGGTTATTAACTAAACTCAAAAGAGAAAATGAACTTGTACATGACTTGAAAAGATTGAGCTAAGGAAAATATTGACAGATCAACAGTGGCATGTCTTTCAGGGCTCAGAAGAATTTATTAAACTCTGTTTTAGAGCCCTGGGGAATCTATGTGATGCACTAATTAAATGAAAACACATATACAAGTTCTACATAAGGTTCTTAGTGAAAAGGTCTAAGAAAAGTTTTGGGATTCTTGGGTTTCTAAAGCCCAATGGTTAAGAAAAGGCAATACATTTTTAAAGAAAATGCAATATGCTTTCTAAAGGGCAGCTTCAGCTTTTTAAGAAAATGCTGATGGAGAACAGTAAAATCACAGTGCCACAAACAATCTTGGGGGACTTTTTAGAGTACTCATTTTTGAGCACATCTACACCCTGAACAGTTTAACAAGTTATGGAAACTCATCTAATTTTGAGTTGCTTGTCCAAGTCTATCCTGGCAGGAAGCAATGAATTAATAGTTCTAACTATAGGCAAAATAAAGGCAAGCTGACTTTTGGCTACCTTCAGTTATATTGGGTGCCCTGGCTTACTATCAACAGAGCTAAGATAATAGACAAATACGGTCCCTTGTTAAAGGAAATAAAGACCCTGAGAGCTCCACAGCTTAGCATCTCAGCATCCACTGATGTTGCTGGTCCCACCAAACCTTCTCAGTTTGTATAAATAAGGTCCTGTTTTCTTTTCTTTTTTTAAAAATTTTATTTATTTTTGGCTGTGTTGGGTCTTTGTTGCTGTGCGTAGCCTTTCTCTAGTTGTGGCAAGCTGGGGCTACTCTTCGTTGCAGTGCACGGGCTTCTCATTGCGGTGGCTTCTCTTGTCGCGGAGCACGGGCTCTAGGCGTGTGGGCTTCAGTAACTGTGGCACATGGGCTCAGTAGTTGTGGCGCATGGGCTTAGTTGCTCCATGGCATGTATGATCTTCCCAGACCAGGGCTCAAACCCGTGTGCCCTGCATTGGCAGGCCGATTCTTAACCACTGCGCCACCAGGGAAGTCCTAAGGCTCTGTTTTTTTTTTTTTGCGGAGACCACTATTGTGGTCTCTCCCATTGCGGAGCACAGGCTCCGGACGCACAGGCTCAGCGGCCATGGCTCACAGGCCTAGCCGCTCCGCGGCATGTGGGATCTTCCCAGACCGGGTCACGAACCCGTGTCCCCTGCATCAGCAGGCGGACTCTCAACCACTGCACCACCAGAGAAGCCCCAAGGCTCTGTTTTTTAATCAAACCTCTGGTTTGTACTTTAGTTCCAACAATTAAGAAGCTTTCTTTTTTTAAATTTTTATTGGAGTAGAGTTGATTTACAGTGTTGTTAGTTTCAGGTGTACAGTAAAGTGAATCAGTTATACATATACATATATCCACTCTTTTTTAGATTCTTTTCCCATACAGGCCATTACAGAGTATTGAGTAGAGTTCCCTGTGCTATACAGTAGGTCCTTATTAGTTATCTATTTTATATATAGTAGTGTGTATATGTCAAGCCCAATCTTCCAATTTATCCCTCCCCGACCAAGAAGCTATCTTGAGCTCTTCATCTGGGAGATTCTGCCTAGTTTCCTTGCCCAGTATCCCAGTCCCCTGAGTCAAGGCTCTTGTCTCCTAAGGATGAGAATCTTACCACTAACCCTCAGTCTCCTATGGCTGGGTCCCTGCTACTTTTCTTCCCTTATAACTACCACCCTGAACTTCTCATTTCTGCTGCTAGACTCCTGAGAGACTATGTTCAATCTACTTGCTAGATTATCCATCTCTTGCCTATTTCTGGACCTCTGACATACTGACCTATTACTAGATTACAGAATTCCCTGGTGTCATGATCTAATGTATCCAGCTGTGAAACGTCCCCAACACTGATTCACCACTTATCTGGATCGCCTCAGTTAACTGACCCCAAGACTTGCCTTACTTGGTCTATCTGGTCCTTAAACCTCAGCCTTCCTTGGTCTAGTCCCTCTTAGTATCCTCCATATAAGTGAATAGAAAGGTTATCATTCTAGAGCACTGCTTCTCAAACTTTAATGTGCATAAGAATCTCCTGGGGATCCTGTTAAAATGCAGATTCTGATTCAGCAGGTTTGGGGTAGGGCTGAGATTCTAGGAAGTTCCCATGTGATGTGGTTGCTACAGACCCATGAGTCCCACTTTGAGTAGTTAGTATCTAGAGCTGTGTTGTCCAATACAGCTGCCACATGTGGCTATTGAGCACTTGAAATATGGCTAATCCGAGCTAAAATGTACTGTAAGTATGGAGAAACACAAGCTTTCAGAGACTTACTACAAAAAAAGAATGTCAAATATCTCATTAATATTTTATATTATATTTTGAAATGATAAAATTTTAGCCATAATTGGGTTAAAAATATATAACTATATTAATTTCACCTTTAAAAAAACCTTTTGGTAATGTGGCTACTAGAAAATTTAAGTTAGATTTATATGGCTCAGATTATATCTCTTTGGACAATGTGGTCTAGATCTTTCAAAAAGTATTACACATTTCATCTGTTGTTTGGAAACTGCAAGCTAATGCATGAATGGCCTAAGTAATATTTTCTAAACTGGTACCATTGTACTTTTTGTATATCTCATGAAAGATTTCAGAATTACAGGCTTACTCCGGTCAATAAAGCTTTGTTATTGTTAGCAATTAGAGTCCACCTTGAGAAAATACAATTAATGCTTGGGGGTATTTTTCTGAACTTTCTTATATAGATCAAGGTGTTATTCAGACTATAAAGGTATTACAGAAGATATTTCATGAAAAAGTTGATCTACCACACAGGCATTATACTAAACTTTTAATTCTAACTTATCACTTAAAATATGGCTGGCTAGGGCTTCCCTGGTGGCGCAGTGGTTGAGAGTCCGCCGGCTGATGCGGGGGACACGGGTTCGTGCCCCGGTCCGGGAGGATCCCACACGCCGCGGAGCGGCTGGGCCCGTGAGCCATGGCCGCTGAGCCTGCGCGTCCGGAGC